CAATAAATGGGAAAAAAACTAACTGGACTTATTTGAAAAAGTAACTCAGATATTTTCTTGTAAATTAAAAAGTAATGCGTTACTTTACTAGTTACTTGAAAAAAGTATTCTGATTAAGTAACTTGCATTACTTGTAATGCGCTACCCCCAACACTGCTAACAAACATGAACTAAAACCCACAAAATGCCAAAACTGATTTCATACCCACTACAGGAAAACAAACGGTTGTATAGTGGTTTAAATATAATAGACTACCATGTTTATCTAGGACTGAAATGTTCTAATAAGGGCATCAGAATTGGTTGACAACGGAACAATGTGGCCATTATAAAGTCGTAAGAGTGTGTTGTAAGATGGTCCTCATAGAGCCAGCCCTTAGTTCCTCTTTGTCGGCTGTTATTAGTATACTACTGAATTCTTCACAGTTCTCCAACCCATCACAACATGCAAACATTTCCTCCTGCTGCTTGTATATGTGCACGCACACCTGCTGATAGCCGGTGCTGGTGACCACATGTAAATGTGGCCGTTTGTGTGCAAAAAGAGGGGAAAAGAAAAGAAAAAGATAACATCAGACTCAGAGTGAGCAAAGAAGTATTTTAGTCCATGAGGGTACCAATTAGTACACTACACTTTCCAATGGAAAGATTCATGGCTCAACGTCTCACAAAAAAAGTTTACCAATGCAAAGGTATTTTTAGAGAATTTTAAACATATTGCTGTTCAGAATAGTTTTCAGCATGCTGTTCAGGTGTTCAGAATAGTTTTTAGCATGTTTATGGTGTTCTGAGACAATTTTAGCATGCTGATAGGTCTTCTGAGTGGTTTTAGCATGTTTAGCATCTGTATTGTCATGACATTCCCTTTTAAAGCTGCCTGATACTAAAGAAAAATAACCTATCCGAATTAGGGAATTGTATAATATTATTAATGCAGACATGTATTTAATGTATTAAAGGAGTAATGGAATATAATTAGTTTGTGTGTGTGTGTGTGTGTGTGTGTGTGTGTGAGTGTGATTAAGCTGTAGCATTTGTGCATTTATACAAAATGTATTTAAACTACTGTTTTTCATACAAATACCTAGAAACCACATATTTAACATGGTATCTGAGGTGCTGTATGTGTAGCTTTGACTGTGGTCATCATGATCTAAATGTATGCTGCTATAGAACACCAGTGGAGTTAATAACGAACCAATGAATGTTAATAAAACTCGAACAGTCAGAATAATTACATTTCACCATATAAAAATGAATGAATAGTGTTCCCTAATCTAAAGTGTTACCTTCTGATCATTTCCTCCTGGCATATTTTGGGCCCAAATCTGAATGAACTTTTTTAAGATATAAGGGATTTAATTACTTTAGCAGGTGAATATTATAGCAGGAATTAAATCGATAGCATCATAAGTGCTGCATGCACAGAATGGTTTAATTGTGTTTGTCGAGGCCGTAACCCAATTTCTGGTTAAGCGTGGTGTTGACATACGTACCGATTAGGACACTTACATGGACAAAGACATCACTGCAGTGTGACACACTGCACACAGTGACCTACGTACTCATAACAGTCATTCTGAAACCTTGGTGTGCTTTTGTGAATGAAAAAGCCTTTGAGCTGTATTCATTCACCTTACGGACCAATGGGCAGTAGCCATTATTACATATAACTGTTGTTGTCAACCAACTACAAAACACTAGTAAACAAATGAATGCCTTTATCCTTTCATAAAAATGGCTGACGACGAGAGCCAACCACACCATGTATTTAGACAAGTGTGTTAATGCAGAACCCACAGACTGACTGCACAACTATAACATTTAGCTGATCAATTGTTCAGTGTCACGTCAGTCACGCTGTCCCCTTTGAGAGTTTTGGACAATTTGATTTGATAGCACATGATTGATGTCATGGGATGGGACATGTCTCTGTTTACAGTGTGTCATTCAGTTTGTGTCACCCTGATTTGCCCTGAACCTCATTGTTTGGGCAAGGGCAAGCAAAGGACTGAGTTTGATCGAAGACTTTAGTTAAGTGCAATTTAAAAAACAGTTCTTCAGGAAGGCTCAGGCATTTTTAACAACCAGACATATAACCTTTTTGTTTTTGTTTTTTACTAAAAAACTTAAAATTATAGGAAAGTCAGGTCAAATACTGTAAAAGGAAACAGTACCTGGTTTCTTCCCTAAGCATTTACAAAGAAGAGAGGAATTATTTAACAGTACTTTGTAATTTCCTAAAGACTTTCCCAATTCTTCCTGAAGGCATGTGTAACTTTTTTAATTCACTAAACATGACATAACTGTTTTATATTCAGTTAGTATAACTAATTATTCAACACTCTTAGAAATAAAGGTACATAAGCAGGTTTGTACATAAAGAGTCCATATTGGGAACATATTAGTAACTAAAGTGTACATATTAGTACCTAATAGGTACAAAAGTGTACCTTTTGAAAAGTACCACCCCTTTTGTACCTTTTATTTTCTGAGAGTGTAATTCTGTCCGATCATATGAAACAAAATGTTATGATTTTATAAATATACTGTCATTCCAAACTACACTCACATTGTTTATTAGTATTATCGCTTTACTATACATTTGTACCTTTTATTTTCTGAGAGTGTAATTCTGTCCGATCATATGAAACAAAATGTTATGATTTTATAAATATACTGTCACTCCAAACTACATCGAATTCACATAACAGTAAGTTATTCACTCACATTGTTTATTAGTATTATCGCTTTACTATACACGTTATTGGAATTGGCCTGAGGTTGGGACTTTCAAGTCATCCAAATACCCTAAAAGTTCCAATTACACACTGACTTCCAAAAACTCCGTCTCTGAATGCCCCCACATCCCCAGTGCAGACAGCTGTTTTAGTACAGTAGCAAACGCAGGTTACTGAGCTGTTACTGTAATCAGAAAAGCCTACCCTCATCCAGGTAGAAAGATAAAAGCGATGACTTTCACACAATCATACGCATGCACACACAGTTGTAAAAAATGGACATAAAGGGCTGTACATAAGACTTAAAACTGAGATAGATCTCGATAGAGATTTTATGACATGTTTTCAGGTATCAGAGATACTATATCTGGGTTTTTTTATTTATTTATTTTTAGGTTTGCTGAAAATACAACAGATTTTGTACTTGTAACACAGGACATCTTTTTTCATTACATTATTTTTTCTTTCTATACTCTCGTAAAATGAAGACCTACACCACTTCACATGAATTATGGAATATCATGTGGCTATGAGGCTTCCAGTGAGCTTTCCAGAGAGCGATGATTTACCACGAAGTCACTTGCAACACAGAAAGTTTCGGTTCAATTTTCTTGTTGTTTTTTTTGTTTTTTTTGTATTTTGGTGGGTGAGGGGTGGGAGACAGTAAAAAGACAGTAAAAACATAAGCACCAATCATTTTGACAGTGTTAAGAAAATATCTCCAAAAAAATTTAGTTTAAATTTAAATAATCTCAGTCTATTCAAAACACCTGACATGCCAACATTATATTTCAGACGCACAGCAATCTTTCATTTGCCCCGATAGTGTCAATATCAGCCGTCATGTCATATCCTTTACAAAAAAATGTTCCATGTATCAAATTTACAATTTATACTAATTGCATCCAACAGTAATATCACAGAACATGCAATTGTCTTTAGTTAAAAATGTAATTTAAATATTTTTACATGAAGAACATGTTTAGGTTACTTGACAAAACATTTTTACAATGTACTGTGAAATATGAAGAATAGCGATGATACACACGTACATTGCAATTTAAATGATCCTTAAACAATAACTTGTTATTACTGTGGTAGCATGCCCAAAATAATATGGTAATACCATGGTATCATGTCCAATGATCATTGTAGTTCTATGGTACTTTGTTCTGATTCTTTGGTACAAATAGGCAAAAACTCTTACAATTTATATAAGCAACCTGGCTATACTAGGTTATAAAAATCAATCCTAATAAGGGTCAGATTGAGTAGGAAGGAATAACTCCATATTTGATTCTTACAGTTTAAATATATCAAATACCCTAACAGAAACTATACCATAGTTAACTCGGCTAGTTACTACGACTGTAAGTCATAATAAATTGAATGTGGGATGTTCTGCAAAGAGTGTTAAAAAAGAGTTAAGAAGCTCTCTGTCATTTAAAAAAAAAATTATTTATTAAATGACAGTAACTTAGCTGCTAATACCAAGTGACCAAAGTGTCATTGTACAAATTGTAATATATATGATTTTTAATCTACAGTACGTACTAAGTAATTTGTAATTTGAAATCTATACTTTAACGTTTCAGCTATTGCGTTATCGTTTATATAATACCGAATATACTATATTACGCTTTTAAAAATCGTTTTTAAGAAAATTACAAATTTGATAATTATCTGTGGCAATGTTCGTTTATTTAAAGCGAAGCAACAACTTCCGTCCAGCTCAGAATTTGCCAAATTTCGGCGAGGATCCCACCGTCTATATCACACCCTCAGTCCGAGTAAGAATGAATCAACCATCCGCCAACTCCAGTGGCATGAAAACGGGTTTGGTTAAAACGGGTAAATAAAGAACAATATTTCACTCTTGTACTAACATAAAAGTGAATAAATACGACGGCTGTGAGAAGGAACCAGGGTATTGAGCACGTTAGCACCACTGCTAACTCACAGATAATGGGCAAAAGCCTGAGCTATAACTGTCACTGGTGATATAAAGACGATTTAAACGTAAAATATCCTAAATTAAGTGAACTACTTATCCAAACTGTTCGCAAAATGTGGCAAACAGCGCTGGTTTCTCACAGCCCCATCCAGTAGCGCTGAGTGTGTGTGTGTGTGTGTTGCTCCTACCGCGCCCCTCTTTCCCCCGTGCTGATCCTTTTCTTTCTCTCAAAGCCATCTAAACACACTCTTCCACACACACACACACACATCTAACTCGCTATCCAAGCAGCGTGTCGCACTTACATATTTTTCCTCGGAGGCTCTGCAAAATCCGGATTTTCGTTTCGTCTTCTTCCGCCATGGTCCAAGTTTCGTCTCTGTACAGTACATTCAACACTTATCACATCCGTTTATGAATGCAGGCGCACGGACGGACGGCCCTCCGAAGCGTCACCGGCTCAGCGCGATTGGTCGCGCCGCCAGACCGGGATTTGTGTGAATCAACTCACACAGGCAACATCATGTAGTCAAAACAAACGGAAGCCCTAGTGGAGGACGAGCGACAGAGCAGATGAACGGGGCCCCTCGAAAGAAACCCGGTGACTTGTGTTTTAAAACCTAGTGAGCTGACTGCCTAAAGAGCATTTTACCCTTGTCAAGTTACACTGCTCACCAGGTTTTGAAACAGTCTTCGTGGATAGTTTGGAAATCGGTACAAATCTGTTAGCTAGTGGTTTGTATTTAAATTATTTAAACTTTGTCTGTCCTTAAAGCCATTTTAAGGTTTAATGCTGCCCCACACAGTAGCCTATCACCTGAAAAAAAAACACGTTAAATATTGAAAAAACACGTTAATAGTAAAACTTTGCCAAGTGTATGCACCATCCATGGTCTGTGTGTTGTTATATATTTTTTAAAACATTCTGTTTATTTATTTATTTTACTTTTATGAGCCAGTATAACAAAATTACTGTATAATGTGATAATAATAATCATATTATAATACTATAGTATTGCCAAAAATCAGACTATACACCCTTTTTCAACTGTGAAAATGCATTTTCAGAACAAGTAACATCCGAAATCAACTTTTTAAAATATATTTTCATCATTTAATAGCAATAATAATAATAAGCGCATTTATAACAAATATCTTGTGCTATATTAGCCTAGTATTAAATTACAATATTGTCAACACTACTGCAACGCTGCAGCTGGAAATTTGACATCTTCCTCTCCTGACTGCCATAATTCATCTGTTTGTTTGTTTTTTTATTTTTGGAAAGTTGTAGAAATGTATGAGCAAAATTGGAACATCATAATTTTGCTATGGTCTCATGAGGATTACCCTGCTATAGTTTACTTTCACATTCCAAACCGGAGAAAATCATCCATTCCATTGGTATTTAACAAATTACAAATTTTATGTCATTGTACTCTGATTTCTTAGCCCATGCTGTCAGTGTCTCTAAAGATTGGTCCAGTGGATGATGGTTATCAGCAATGTCTCTAAGATTTGTTTTTGCTCTGAAAAACCTTTCTGTTGAGTAGGAATCTTATGTATATTACCCGTGCAGAGCTGTTAATTCCTTTATTAGTATATTTGTTAGGGCATTATACTGTATATATGATCTGTGTCAGATTAAAATTATGGAATAAAATGAAAACTTCTGAAGTGTTGCACCTTTGCTTTTGTAAACTTGTCAAATTTGTAGACTTCAAATGTCACAGCATTGTGTTTAATATAAAATTACTCTTTTGTAACATATTGTCTTTGTATTACAATCTCAACTTGAATGTTCACTAGCCTAATATTTGAGTAGACTGGCAGATGTTTTCTGATGGATTAGGCATGCAAAACAGATAAGTAGCTGATAGGCTGTCTGGTGGAGTTTTTGAAAAAATGTAAAACAAAGTGCAGGTACAGATGAATGAAGTACCAGACATTCCCTGATGACCTGGAATGAATGAAAACCTTCACCGATATACTGATAGGCTTTCGGTGTTGGGCACAAACCTGCTACCAGCATATCTCCATGGAGTTGACGGTGGTGGAGAGTTCAGAACATCTGGCACTGGTGTCATGTGGGCCCAGACAGGACACCGTGAATGCGGCATTGTGTGGAGGACCGACAGAGAAACTGGAATGAGCTTCTCAGATGGGTCAGCATGGAGGCCCAAAGAGATAGTGAGAGAGACAATCTGAATGAATAAACAGAGTTCCCTCTTACAAGTCTGCAATTTCAGGAGGAAGAGGAGCTCTGGGCTCTGTTTCACTCATTCTCTTTCTGGCTCTCTCTCTCTAATGTTTCATATTTTTTAAATTGTATAATTTATGGATTCTAATATGATATTTAAACATTTGAATGTGATTAAATATACTTGTGTTCCAATTGTAGAAAACTGGCATTTGATATTGAGGAAACCCAGCCAACATTGCAATAAACCTTAGTCAATTGTAGAAGCAGTTTTCAATGCGCCACAAATGAAAACAAGGCAACTGTGTCACACTTAAAAAAATTACCTATTTGTAATATGTAAACATGTCATTTTAAATATGGTCTGTGAATACATCCTATGGACTGTCCGTTGATCATTTCAGTCTTGTTTTCATTTGTGTTAAATTTAATATGTCCATATTTAATAAGTCCATAACTGTGGTTAACATTATTACATTGTACTATATTACAACAATTGTAATAAAATACTGTGATATACTTAATAATAACATGACTCGTGTTATGTGTTATGTTACTGTATTTTTTTATTTCATGATTTGTTGTATTTCACAAAATTATGTAATTTTATAAATGAAAGGTAAAACATTTGGTATATTCTGGAAAATCATTTTTAGCATTTATCAGTATAATGCATTTTTGTGCAACAAACAGATTGAAATGGCGGTAATAGTGTTATGTTACAATAAAAGTGCAATCACTCGCAGTTATCTTTACTGTAAGGTGCTGCTAGTCGTTCACTTTACTTGATGCATAGAGTACAACACAATGAGCAATGGAATAGGGAAGATCCACTTGACTTAGACAAATAAAAACGTATAAAAATAAAACCACTTCTTTTCTCATAGAAAAACATGGAAAACTACCAATAGTATTTCATGTGAACGACCAAAAATACTCTATATTTACATCTCACAAGTTCTCTTGAATGCAAAGTCACTATGCCAACCTCCTCATACTTTCATGTGCGTTTTTTCTCTATTTTTCAAACGTTGTAAGGCCTGCCCTGTCACTTATGTCATTATTCTATGTGACATCAGCAGGAGATGCATTTCCTTCCTGTCGTGGGTGTGAAAACAAGGTTCCTCTTTGCAGAAATGCTGTTCTGACTTGAGCAACTGTAGGCTGTTGGGAAGTTCCTTTGGTTACAGGCATTCTTGGCTGACAGATTGGACAGATTGGTCAGCACTTTACTTGGTTGTACCTGTGTTGCGAGGTCAATCCTGTTGTCCCCATATCACAGAGTCCTGTCTGTGCCCCTCAAATCCAAATCCTTTAGAACGTTCCAAAATGCTTTTTTTCTTGGACGTCTTCCTCTTTATTTCTGGGGAAAGGGGACTAAAAGACCTATCTGCTGCATAAGGAAATGACAAAGATGTTTTCTTGAAGATACTGTCGATTGTAGGATAACTCCCCTCAGTTTCTATGTCCATGGGTTCCCCTGTCTTTGGCTTTATCTCTGAGCTGGTATACATGCTCTCCCAAGGCTCTGGTTTGATATGTCCTTTGCGCTCTTTACCTGTAGAAAGTGAACTGGTTATTTTACATGTCATGTTTGGATCTTCTCCGTCTTCTGCCTTGAAGTGCTTGCTCTCGTGCACACTCAACAGCACTGCTGATTTACATACCTTTGAGCAATACCTGCAATTGTGTCTTTCACCTGACTTTTCTAGATGTTTTTTCTCATGACTTTTCTTGGTGGCAAGGTAAAGGAATCGCTGTGGGCAGTAAGAACATCTATAACGCTTTTCCATGCTCAGGCTAGGAGACGTCACATCTGAGCTGAAACAGGAGCCATCCTCGGTGCAGCTCTTGCAGATAAAGTCACCACTATCCTCTCCAGTGGGCCCAGCTGTGCTGGATGTGTCTTCAGGGGGACATTGTTTACCACATATTCTGCATTGTGGCTGATGGCAGCTGATGATGTGCATGCTGAGGGAGGTCTGGCTAGAGAAAGAACTCTCACAGCTATGGCAGGGAAAAGCTTCCTTTTGGCTGCTATGCCTTGGCTCCCTCCTGACCCCATAGTTGTCTGCTGAGATCCTCTCATCTGGACAGAACGGTGTTTCTCTGAAGTCTTCATTGGCTTCAGGTGACAAGGGCCTAGTGTAGCATCTCAGATGTTTCATCCTTGTTCGTTTTCCTTTCAGTTTCTTACTCTTCTTTTTAGGTCTATATGTGTAATAGGGACGCCATAGTTTGTCGGTTTCAGGATCATTTGGGTCATCACATGTTTTATTTTCTGTAACTGAGGTTGTGAGTTCTGCCCTCACCCTCAAACTTGGACTTCCAATACTCTCCTCTGTAGGGCTTCTTTGACCTATGCCCTCTTGTCTCCAGCTTTTCCTTTTCCTCTTCTTTGGAAATAGCTTTGAGCCTTTTATTTTTCGTCGAACAATTGCCTCATTGCCAATTTTCACTGTTATTTGGCAGAGGGGAAGGACTTGGTTGTCAACTGATGGGCCTAGACATGCAGGCTTAGCAATGTACGTTTCTGTCTTTTCAGTAGGCGGTTGATCTGCTGTTATGCTCCCAGGTCTCGCTTGCAGCAACTGATTAGCCATGTCCTCAATGGTTTGTGCTGCTGCTGACAGTTCACTCAGCTTGCTCAACCCTTCGAAGGAGCATACGGATGGTATGTTGAGGAATGGAAGAATGTCTGTTCTGTTTTCTGCGTTTTTCTCTGTTGGAGAATCTCTGTCACTTCCATGCGTAATCAGAGAGGACCCTGTGTTTTTCTGTATTGCTTTTGAAGAATCTGTAAATCTGTAGCTGAAGAGCGGTGACCCTTTCCCATCAAATCCAGACTTTTTCCTGAAATCAGTAGAGAGGTGTTTCAGGGGTTGGTCTGTCTCAGATGGCACAGGAAATCCTACGTTTTGGTCACACGGTTTGTTAAAGCTGATGCGAGGCTTTTCTGATGCCATAATTTTCGGAGTGGCCATGAATGTCACTGGCATTGAAAATAAGGACTGACCACTAACAACATCTGAATTAGTTGTCGGTACTGTGCTGTCAAAAAGAGTGTTGGGCGAACAGCTGCCCAGAGGTGCACTGTAGGACTCATCATTGCCCTCGATCCCTTCAGAGTATGTCTGACTGTATGACTTGTATCGTTTCTTTCCAAACTTCATTGGGAGAAGCCTGTAAAGCTTTATGGGGTAGACACTACTCTTGAATCCACCATTTGCTGATTTTTTATTGACAGCCAGC